TTATGAAACTATCATAAAACACAAATGCTTTAGCCAAAGACTTCCTCCACATTTGTTGATCCCGTGGAATACTCAAGCTCATAATATCCAAGCCATCAGATTCCTTATTGAATACACATCTAACTCTATACATGATTAACTCATGACCAACAAACACTACACACTAGATATGAACATTTTAGTGATAATGTACCGAAGAACCACAAGCACCCATGCACAAGACATGATCGCATTCTGGTCTAAGGATAAAGTGACACTAATAGACATAACGATGATCATTGACCGAAGATATTGTACCCATGTGATCAATCATCCGATGGTCACATTCAATGCTTCATTCTCTAATGAATCACCTCATTACTCGTGCCTTTATGTATGAGTCTCATCACTGAATCATCGGCATCTCATGCTAATCAATGGCAACACATAGTAATGCTGATCTTGTGATAACATTGCCCTTAATTATTATCACATCTAATCAGGAACATAATTAAGAGTGAGGCATACCAAAAGAATCATAATACTCATATTCTCAAACTCTTTGAAAATAGAGTTCTCTCTAAAATAAGCTTAGGGGCATATACAACTTAATTAAATATAGATGACACAAAGTAGCATAAAATAATCATCATTTTATTAATGATAAAATCACTACAAAGTTTATATATACAAATGTTGCCCTAAACCATACATCTATCAGTGGTTTTAAGGTAAATACACGAGTGCTCCTAAATGTCTTGTCACTAGGAAAAGGATACAAGGGGTACTATCTTTTAATGTTTTGCATATTTTTTCACAATTAGCAGTGTTTTTGTGAACTTTTGATTTATGTTTGGGGGATATGATCCACTGTGGAAGTTATTCATATCTAGTAAAACGTTTGCATTGATCTGAAGTAGTTTTCGATGTCTTGTTTGTTAAGTTTGATGAAATTAATCTAAATAACAGTGAGCTAGACAACAATTGTTTCAACAAGCGAAGCCTGCTTCTTTTGAATGTGATTTCATATTGTGGTGGATACTAGGTATTTTTTTTTATAAAATTTTCATCATGGGTATGTTTGTGGTCTAGTATGTTAACCATATTTGTTTGTTGATTGTAGTCTTTGTGAAGGCATACAATGTCTTCGGAGTAAACTAAAGATGATAAAGATTACAGAAAAATAGTTTGTTGATTGTAGTCTTTGTGAAGGCAGACAGTGTCTTAGGAGTAAACTAAAGATGATAAAGATTACTGACAAATAGGCAGAAGTAGGTTTTACTGGTGTAATTTCTAAAGTTTAATTAGTTCCTTCCTGTTCTATCTTTGGCTCCCCGAAGAATCGTATATAATTATTACTTTTAGATTAGTCCATGAATATTCTTTCCCATTTTGTTCTGACTTGATATAGGTGCCATTTGAAGTTCTTGTTCGAAGGCAAATTGCCCGTTTGTTAGATTCAAGCCTTCAGCATGTCGGGTTCATATACGATGAGTTTATAAAGGTACATCATTACTAACTTGCTATATTTGTGTTCTCGTAGCACGAATGTTTGCCATTGCAAATTTTCTAATAAAATTAACTCTCCTTTCAGATTAGCCATCGCTGTCTTATGAATGAACTGCAAAGCTTTCCTGTTCTTAGAAAGCATATGGATGAAGCTACAGTAAACTTTCGGCACGAAGGGCTTGAACCCTCTGAGACCTTAATGATAGGACACATTATTGAAATGTAGGTATACTGAAAACATGACTCCTTGAAATCTCATTGCTCTTTACATCTAAACTTTTATATATTGATAGTTAATGATTTATTCCCTTTTGATTAAGGGTAATGTGATTCCGAGTTCCAATAAAAAACCAGGGAAATACTGAAATTTAATTTTGTCATTGCTATTTGGTGTCACTAGAGTTAGTCGACTTTAGACCATGCTGTCTATGTCTTGAAACGGTATATTAGTTTGGTTATGAGTGTGATTTGTTCTTCACTGTTGGCTAGTCCTTAATTTTTCTGCTTGATTCAGAACCACCATGCAAGTTGAAATTTTTAATCTTACTTCTGCTTATGTACTTATGGGCTCCATCTTCCTATTACATTCTTAATTTCCTCACTGCTGTGACAATGTCCATCGTATCTGTGACTGAAATGGCTTTTGTATTTTTCAAACATTGTTGTCATTATGATCGTAGTACCCTCCAAAATTTGTGTTGGACACAATTGTTGTGGTTGCAAGATCAAACATTTTAGTAATGCTGTCTGCGTTTACATGTTTTTTCCCTGCTTTCCTTTGCTATTTTATTTTAATTACACCCGCACTTTTTAACTTTTCTGGTCGATTTTCTTGTTTCATGAAACTTTTCTATCTTTGCTTTTCAAAAGAGTTACGGAGATTTACAAATAAGCGACTCAAACTTGTCATTAGGTCAGGAAAATTTTGGTTTTGACGTATGATTAAGCTTCCCTCTTTATCTTCTCCTCTAAATATTTGTTTATTTCTGGTTGCTCTTACTGGTTTTGATCTGGAGAAGCAGCTTTAAAATGTCAATGATCAATCAATCTATATTTGCCAATCTTTGCGGGGACATTAAGAGGTTCTGTTTATGGCTACCATATGTAATATTTAATCTTCTGCTATTTAATATAGAATAAAATAGTAAATTAATTTAAATAATATTGTCTAACTGCCTTCCCTACACTATAAATTCACGTCAGAATCCAACAGCATTCAACATTAAAATAAATAAAAATACTCTAAATAAATTGGAAATAGTTCAACTATATTTTTTTTCTTTTACCAACCAAAAAAAAAAAAGTTTATATAAAGATGTACTTTCATTTCCAGTTAAACGGTGTCGTGTGTGACAATAAATATGTACCAGTAATAACTAACTTTGCCGCTAACAAATCCAGACCCTTTTTGACTCTCTCATCTCCTTCAACGGTTCTCATACCCAAAATTTTGCAAGAAAACACTTTCCCAGAAAATGCCTCCTATTTTCCCAAGAATAGCCAACGCCTCCCTCCACACTATTCAACGTACTCCTTTAACCCAACCAAAACAAGAGGCTTCTCTATAAGAGAAGCTCTCGTAGCTTTCTGGATGCTGCTGTTTAATGTACTTCTAATTCCCAACTCCAACTCTTCTCAAGGAAAATATTTTTTTTCTCATTTTCTCTCCCTTTACATTCACAACTTAAATTGGTGAAAATTAATTCAGTTCAAGATTCTTTCAATTTTCTCACTTCCTTGAGCATTTTGAAGCCCCAAATGCATCAAGATTCTAACATTCATACTATTCACATAATATCTTGTATTTTCATCGATTAATCATATCCCAATTTATGTTTATCTCAAATATTATTATAATAGTATCCCTATTCACTTTTGGATTACCTACAAATCACTTTTTTTTTTTTTTTTTTTCATTTTTTCGTTTGAATCTCTCATGAATAGTTAGAGAAAACTGTTCTAATAAATCGTTTTCAATATTCTTTTACTAAATGAAAGAGAAATTATTTTCTTCCATAGAGAACATGGCTTCCGGTAGGGTTTTAGTTCATGGCTTTTACGTACAAGTCTTTTCAGAAAATGCAGGGAAAGTCTCTTCCCTCTCCTAAACAAGCAACTCATATTGTAATACATTTAATTTAGATTAGCCTTTTAAGCTGAATCAAATGCAATCGAATTTAATTTCCTCCCATATCTCATTAAAATAGATAAATATATAACCATTGTGAATTTTTAAATGTTTTAATAATTAAAAACAATACAAAAGAAAAAGTAAACTGTAATGAGTTAGTGCTTAATAAATAATCTCATTTTTCATTTTATATTTTATAATCAAATTTCACTCTTTGAGTTTTTTTTTTAACATGCATAAGCTATGAAATACTAATAATGTTAAGAGTAAAAATTGTATTCCAACTACCAATTAGATGATTGATTAAAATCATGGTTAAGCCATGACATATTGTATCTGCATGAACATGCTTCGACCCTTGCAGCATCAAATCTCTTGAAGGCACAAAGTAACCATGTCCTTCTTCATGTATGTTGTAGCTTGATAAATTTCATATAAGATTAAGACATATATAGATAATGAAATAAGGCGACTTATAAATCTTTTATTTGCTCTATTTTTTTTTTTTTTTTTTTTTTTTTTGTAATTAGGATGTCCAAACCAACTTGCACGTATCTCGATTAAGTGACTACTTGATAGAACTCGAACACAAAACCTCTAGATAACTTAAAATCTTATCATCCGGCGCATTTGCTCGATTTTCTATTTCAAATACATAGAATTGCATTTGAAGTTGTTCCACTGAAATTAGATAAAGTCAATAAAGAGTGGCTATTTTTATTATAATTTTGTGTCAACAATTTAAAAGACCTCATCCCTGGAAGGAAATTAAATATTAATAATAATTAATTCATGTAAAACTTACTCTATAAAAGTTAGTTAGGATTAATACCCAGAGAAAAAAACATCACTCCAATAATTTTGGTTAAATATTAATATAACAAATCAAAATAAAATTTAATCAATATATTTAAACGATAATCAATATTTATTATTTTTATTCAATTAGTTAAGTGTTAATAAAAATAATAAAGGCAAAATTTATTATTAAAAATAATGTAATTAAATAACTAATAATTACTTAACCATTAAACTTAATTATCTAACTATTAAAATAATAAAATTAATACAAAACATAATTAAAAATTACTAATATAAACAGTTTTTAAACAAAAATGCCGAAGATGTTTTCATTTTTTACATGTTCCAAACATTTTCAATATTCTTAAAAAACTGAAAATGAAAACAAAGAATTCATAAAAGAATACCACATATTTCTTTAGAAATTAAACCCAGAAAACTTTAAATTTCTAGTCCTCGAGTTGTATAACCACCTTTTAACCAGTGATTAAAATGTTGCTCAACAAATCATAAACATATATGTTTCTAACTTTCTATGTAATCCATTTAACAGGTCCCAAACTCACTTCGCAAATAGAACTCTCACAAATTTAACATGCCCCCCTACCTTGCAGGTACCATATTTAGTAAAATAAGAAATAAAAATTTTAGAGTTGTACTTTCTGAGAAGTCCTGTACTATATTTAATATCCTCCCAAAAAAAAAGGTGAATACAAGGCTTTCCTATTCCATACCACTGTAAATCTGCTGCTTGCGTGGTAACTGCATCAGAATTTGTGGTAAGCTAGACATTGAACTTCTATGGTAGTCCGAAGAACATACACCTTAATCTTTCTATATGCACAAATCAAGCTCATGCTTTTTATGAGACGTTGCCAATCATAAAATGCTTCAACTCATTGTTGTCATGCTGCACCCTTCCAGTTATCTCCGTGCATAAGCCGTTGGCAAGGGAACTATGCGTCTGTTTTCCCTTATCAGGCTTCTTACTACTGCCTGGATCTATAAAGACTGGCTTTACTGTAAGAGTTGGATTTGGTTTAACTCGGTTCACTTCTCTTTCATCTGGTGGCTGTAATAATATTCTGTTCTCCCTCTCCAGTTCAGAAACTTCATCTTCGTTCAACAAGACCTGAAAATACTTATTCTATTAGAAGAGAAGACACATCTATGAATAAGCAAGAATACCAGCAAACAATTTAAATTGAAAAACAAAAACAAAAAACGCAGCTATAAGCCACTAAAGCATATCGTGGTATTGCCAGTAATAGAGCACATCAAAAGCAGTTTATGAGAATCTATCGTAATATTATCAACCAATAAAAACCAAAACAAACAGTTCTGATTTTCATTCATCAAGTTAATGATTTCTGTCCATGTGAGTGTTGGTGTTTTCCATTTGCCTAGCAGAAATATGGAGGGGAAAACTGTCTTGAACAGAGCGTATTAAGTAGTACAATTATTTATGATAATAATTATGAAGAGTAAGGATAAAAAATCTAAACAGAGGTAATAAAAGTTTTCCAGCCTTGCATATGTGTGGTGGGCATTACGTTTACACAATTGAAATGTAAAATATAGGCAGAAATTTTGGCCATGAGCAAAAATTGATACCTTGCGACCAACCAAATCAAAAGTCACAACTACTTTACTTCGATTGGCCTTTTCAGCTTCCTCAATCTCCTCCTGTTTCTTCCTTAAAAGTTCCTTTTCCTGGGAGCAAAAAGTCAATCCCAAGCTAATTTAAGCACATGCACAGAGAAAGAATACAACTGTATGCTTGGAACAATTAGCAAGCAACTAGTTACCTCCTTAGAAAGCCAGCTATTTCCCTCAATCTCATAGTAGTCACTTTGGTCATCAATAACTGTTGTACGAGCTGCAGAGTTTCGGTCATATTCAACAAGCCTTTTTGCATAAGCCTCAGCTGTTGCTTCAGCATCTGATAGGGGAGCTAAACTTTCTTCCAGACCAGCATACGTGCTTCCTTCCTTCAGCACAAGGGCACCACAAAACTGGCAAGGTCCCTCCCCCTCTTGTTCACAAACTATCTTGCCACAAGACAAACAATTGCTGATCAATCTGTGCTGACGTGCTTGACAAGAGCATGGTTTTCCCTGTTGGAATACAACTGAACCTTTAGCAGCCTCAGCAAGAGAAACAACTTTTCCAGCTTTCTTCTTTTTGCTACTAGTTTGGTTCCCTTTATTCACAGTTCTTGACTCACTGCTCTCAGCTGAGACCCGGTTTTCATGATAACTGGAGTTAGCACCTTTTTTTGGTTCCACCTGATAACTTGAGGCCATAACCGTTTTAGGTTTAGCCTGATAACTGGGGCCTGTAACCTCTTTTGGAGTTTTCGATGGTTTCTTGAATCCACTAGCAGATCCATCACCAGAGCGTGGTTTAACATAGGCATGTAATTTAGAAGTTGTAACATCTGGAGTGCTGCTACAGAGCTCTGAGTGACCTCTGCGTCGAAGATACTCCTCAATCACGCTTTTGCCCACTTCTTGGCCAATAATATTCTGCAATGAAAATCTAGATTTGTAAAACTTTAAAAAATGAACTCCACCATAAATATTCGCGAATAAATTCAATTCTAATTGTTTTGCTAATATCTGCCTTTCTAAACTTCTAAATGCAAATGTATTCTCACTTCTGATTCTATATAAAACATTAACAAGCTACAGACTAATTTGTAATATTTATTCGTGTGGTCTCTGACACTGTGGCTTCCCCTAACCTAATTCTTGGCACCACAATGATATAAATCAAGGACCAAAAATACTATCAGACTGAGATTGTTTTATAATTAGGATACTATTTCGTATGATGGCCAATCAGTGCCCAATCCCGAGAACTATGCCATCAAACTTAATCCCAAAAATTAAGCCAAAAGCGAAAGAAAAACCCATTAACTTCAAACCCACCAAGCAAACTCACAAATTGAGAACATCAAAGACAGAGAGAAAGAGATAATTACGTCGAGGTACTCTTTGGCGTCGAGTGGTTGAGCGAATTCACAATAGGAGACTAAACCCGAAATTATCTCCCGGTCCAAATCCAATCCCGTCTTGACTCTCTTGCACAGATCCACCAGCGCTTCCTCTAGCCATTGTCCCGCGGTCTCCATTCTTTCTCAGTCTCCTTGCGAGAATGCAAAGAGTTCTATTAATCTCAGGGTTTTAACAGAGAAAAGAATCAAGATTTTGTTTAAAAGAAAAGACAAAATAATTTCAAAATTAAATGAGTTGATTTAATTTCTTTTAATGAAAATGGGCTTTTCACTAGCGATGAATTAAAAAAGTGGCCATTTTATTTAAAGAAAACTGACCACTTTGGTTAAGATTCCATATTCCAAACCATAAGAATTAAGAGTCTTTTCACTGATTAGTTTAGGGGTGCAGTTGAACCGAGTAGCTCGTGAGCTACTCGGGCTCGACTCGTCATGAACTCAGGCTCGATTTGTCAAAAGACGAGTAGTTCACGAGTTCAAGCTCACCTTCAAGCTCGCGAAAGGTGTTGAGCTTTTCTGGACTCGATTCAAACTACTCGCAATCTTCAAATTGCTTGCGTCGTCATTCGAGTCGGTGAAGCTCGTGAGCTCGATTGATTGTTTCAGCTTGCGTAAGATTAGATTTGCCCTAAAATCTAAAACAAAGACACTTGGTTGCAAAATCCCTAAAAGAGAGAAATTTTCCCTTCCCTTCAAGCTTATTTCACCTTCACCTCCACCACCGTCATCTTCACTTCTTCACACCGCAAAGTCTGAGACGCCACCCTTCATTGAGCAACCACCAGATGGCTTCTTCTTTGTTGCTTGTTGCTATGTTTTTTGTGTAGGTGGTTGGAGAGGGACAGTAGGCTGGGTGGTCTTGGCGGTGTTAGTGGGTTTTGTTTCCTTGTTGTGCTTGTTTTCTAGGCTGGTTTTGTTTTTCTGTTTATTGGCGTTTGGGGGTTTTCGTATAGAGTTTCGCCTTTTGTGCCCCTGGTGTGGGTTGTTTGTAAAGGATTTTGTGGAAGTTGATTTTACAGCTTGGTTTTTGGATTGCTTTGAATGATTTTAGAATAATGTTACACTTACATCAATCTTTTATACAATTTTTATTATATTATGATGTGACGTATGTCACAATCACACAAATTTTTAATTATTTTAAATTTTTAATATTATAATAGAATTTGTGTGGTTGTAACATATGTCTGATGTAATAAAAATAGTGTAAAAAAATGGTATAAATGTAGCATTACTCATGATTTTATAGCTTGTTTTTTGGATGAAGTGTTTGACTTTTTGCCTGAGTGAATAACAGAAGACAAAAGCAGTTTACATTGGTTTTTGCAGGTTTAACCGAGCTCGGCTCGACTCGACTCATATTTAAATCAAACCGAGCCGAACTCGAGCTAAACTTTTTCCTTTTCGTGGGCCTAAGCTTGACGAGCTCAAGCTCGAGCCACTGCTTAACTAATTCGAGCGGAGCTGAGCCAACGAATGCACCCCTACTAATACATACGACTAATTTTGAGATTTCATAAATACAAATGGTTAGTTTTTACTAAATATATGTGAAAGTGGTTATTATTTCAAATTATTGAAATAATAGAGGCTAGTGAGGCGGCGCAGTTTAGTACTACCACAGATGCCAAACCTTTTTTTGGAAGTGTAAATTGTACTAGTAAAATTAGTTGAGATGCTAAACGCTAGAAGCCTACAATATGTGGCTCTGCTCGAAGAACTTAAATTGGTATGTAATATTTTGGGCTCTGGTAAAATGTATATGATTGGAGTACATAGAAGATGTAGTTTTCCAAAGAACAAATGGATTTTGTACATTGATTTCTATGTAGAAAGAGCTCGCTGTCCATGCTGCTATTTCTCTGGCATTATAGATATCCAAAACTAACCATAACGCACTTCACTTGTCCTGCAATTCCAAGCTACTTGAGAGCCAAAGAACCCGATCCTGCAAAGGAAAACAATACTGTGAGATAATCAATTTGCTCACATACATGACAATCAGGGTGAAAGGCTGAAAGTTGAATGTCACTAGCACTTCAAATAAGTGAGCAGAGTTACAATTTACAGAATATCAAACAGTTATGGAGAGGACAATCTGAGATAGGCTGCATGCTCTCATAATATGCACTTGTTCCCAAATAATCTTATAGGTCAAAAATTCACATTAGATTCCAACCTTATACATGAAGAAAAAGCAAAAGAACACAAAGTGGGGATTTGATGACTTACAGGATTGCAAAGGATGCTAAGTTTAATGAAGTATTTTGCCGCACAAATTTGAATTTTTTCCTCCCTGCATTGATAACCAATATAGCAACTAACAGTCTGTTGGGATCTTGATCAGTCTGTCATATGTTCCATCTGATTTAATGTGAACATGAACGCCAATTTTTAGTAGAACATTGACTGATTACCAGATATGTGCCAAACTCCAACCAGTTTGTAGGCTTCCGAGATATATCAAGATTTACCATTCAGATCGCAGCTTTATTTCACATAAGACTCCAACCAGGTTCCTTGTCAACTCCAGCTCCCCTCATCTGGCTCCTGACCTCCAGGACGTCTTCCCAGTGGCCAACTTCGGCACAGATATTTGACAAGGAAACATAAGCTCCAGCATCGCGTGGATCCAACTTCATAACATTCTCAGCTGCTACCCTTCCAAGTTCAATATCTCCATGCACTTTACAAGCAGCAAGCAGCGTTCCCCATACCAAAGCATCAGGTTCTATGGGCATGTTTTTTATGAACTTATCAGCCTCTTCTAATCTCCCTGAGCGACCAAGAAGATCAACCATACAAGCATAGTGATAGTTATTAGGCTCGATTCCATAGTCTTTGGTCATTGAATTAAAATGGAAATATCCCTCTTCAACCAAACCATTATGGCTACAAGCAGATAAAACCCCGACAAAGATCACTGAATCAGGTCTGTTTCCTTTATTCTTCATAAGCTCGAAGACTCTCAAAGCCTCTGCCCCTTTTCCATTTTGAGCATAGCTTGTTATCAAAGCTGTCCAAGCTATCAAGTCAGGTTCATCAATCTGTTCAAATGCTTTACAGCAATCTTCAACACTTCCAGATTTTGAATACATTGTAACAAGCGAACTTGCAACAGCAATTTCAGAGTCTAAACCCATTTTTATGATGTAGCCATGCAGTTGAGTCCCAAGGCCTGATCTGTTCAAGAGAGAAATAGCTCTAAGAACAGATGAAAGCATGAAGGAATCAACTGCCAAATCGGACATCAGCATTTCATGGAACAACAAGACTGCATCTTCAATTAACCCATTTTGGGCATATCCCGAAATTAAAGAAGCGCATGAAACCTGATCTTTTAGAGGTAGAATGTCAAACACCCTCCTAGCTGACTTTAGTGCACTGCACTTTGAATACATGGTTACAAGTGCACCACCAATAAGTGTTTATCAAACTTAATCCCAAAAATTAAGCCAAAAGCGAAAGAAAAACCCATTAACTTCAAACCCACCAAGCAAACTCACAAATTGAGAACATCAAAGACAGAGAGAAAGAGATAATTACGTCGAGGTACTCTTTGGCGTCGAGTGGTTGAGCGAATTCACAATAGGAGACTAAACCCGAAATTATCTCCCGGTCCAAATCCAATCCCGTCTTGACTCTCTTGCACAGATCCACCAGCGCTTCCTCTAGCCATTGTCCCGCGGTCTCCATTCTTTCTCAGTCTCCTTGCGAGAATGCAAAGAGTTCTATTAATCTCAGGGTTTTAACAGAGAAAAGAATCAAGATTTTGTTTAAAAGAAAAGACAAAATAATTTCAAAATTAAATGAGTTGATTTAATTTCTTTTAATGAAAATGGGCTTTTCACTAGCGATGAATTAAAAAAGTGGCCATTTTATTTAAAGAAAACTGACCACTTTGGTTAAGATTCCATATTCCAAACCATAAGAATTAAGAGTCTTTTCACTGATTAGTTTAGGGGTGCAGTTGAACCGAGTAGCTCGTGAGCTACTCGGGCTCGACTCGTCATGAACTCAGGCTCGATTTGTCAAAAGACGAGTAGTTCACGAGTTCAAGCTCACCTTCAAGCTCGCGAAAGGTGTTGAGCTTTTCTGGACTCGATTCAAACTACTCGCAATCTTCAAATTGCTTGCGTCGTCATTCGAGTCGGTGAAGCTCGTGAGCTCGATTGATTGTTTCAGCTTGCGTAAGATTAGATTTGCCCTAAAATCTAAAACAAAGACACTTGGTTGCAAAATCCCTAAAAGAGAGAAATTTTCCCTTCCCTTCAAGCTTATTTCACCTTCACCTCCACCACCGTCATCTTCACTTCTTCACACCGCAAAGTCTGAGACGCCACCCTTCATTGAGCAACCACCAGATGGCTTCTTCTTTGTTGCTTGTTGCTATGTTTTTTGTGTAGGTGGTTGGAGAGGGACAGTAGGCTGGGTGGTCTTGGCGGTGTTAGTGGGTTTTGTTTCCTTGTTGTGCTTGTTTTCTAGGCTGGTTTTGTTTTTCTGTTTATTGGCGTTTGGGGGTTTTCGTATAGAGTTTCGCCTTTTGTGCCCCTGGTGTGGGTTGTTTGTAAAGGATTTTGTGGAAGTTGATTTTACAGCTTGGTTTTTGGATTGCTTTGAATGATTTTAGAATAATGTTACACTTACATCAATCTTTTATACAATTTTTATTATATTATGATGTGACGTATGTCACAATCACACAAATTTTTAATTATTTTAAATTTTTAATATTATAATAGAATTTGTGTGGTTGTAACATATGTCTGATGTAATAAAAATAGTGTAAAAAAATGGTATAAATGTAGCATTACTCATGATTTTATAGCTTGTTTTTTGGATGAAGTGTTTGACTTTTTGCCTGAGTGAATAACAGAAGACAAAAGCAGTTTACATTGGTTTTTGCAGGTTTAACCGAGCTCGGCTCGACTCGACTCATATTTAAATCAAACCGAGCCGAACTCGAGCTAAACTTTTTCCTTTTCGTGGGCCTAAGCTTGACGAGCTCAAGCTCGAGCCACTGCTTAACTAATTCGAGCGGAGCTGAGCCAACGAATGCACCCCTACTAATACATACGACTAATTTTGAGATTTCATAAATACAAATGGTTAGTTTTTACTAAATATATGTGAAAGTGGTTATTATTTCAAATTATTGAAATAATAGAGGCTAGTGAGGCGGCGCAGTTTAGTACTACCACAGAT